TTACTCAACACTTTCAGTAGCAATGATGAAAGCAGGAATGGTTTTAAACAAAACAGTGGAAATTAAAAATGAAAACTTAAAGCATGCGTTTCATCATGACTGACACATTTCTGAATTAAAACTTCACTACCAAGATACCACTAAGATTCTTTTTTTTTTTTTTTTTTTTGAAAGAAAGTACTTTGCATTAAAGGCGAGCATTAAATTGATTAAAAAAACGGATTTATAGAAAGATGTATAGACATGTATAGAGATTTATAGACATAAAAAAATTTATTTCAAATAATTGCAGCTCTTTTCTATTAATTAAAGAATCTTGAGAGAATGTATCAGAACAGCTGTTTTCAATATTACAAATAATATTTTGGAGCTTTGGTGTTGCCGACTTTACATCAAAAAATGTTCCACTTGTTTCTTAGTCGAGCACCCAGTTGAGATTGATGTGCGTGCTTTTGCCTGCTCTTCACAATATTACAAATAAGAAATTTTTCTTGAGCACAAAATTAGCATATTAGAATGATTTCTGAAAGATCATGTGACACTGAAGACTGGAGTAATTATGCAAAAAAAATGAGCTTTGTCATCACAGGAATAAACTACATTTTAAAATACATTAAAATAGAAAAGAGTTACTTTAAATTGTAAGAATATTCACAATATAACTTTTCCTGCAGTTTTGATCAAATAAATGCACCCGTGGTGAACATATGAGACTTATTTCAAAATAATGAAAAAATTGTACCAACCAAACTTTTGAATGGTAATAATAATTTGAATGGTCAAATCAGTGGTTTATTAAAATCTCAGATCGGCATTTCAATTTTTTATTTTTTTAATCTAAAAACATTCATCCACCCATGCCAATTCCTTATTTGGAGAAATGAAAAAGGTTTAAATACTCTGAAATGGCATGCATAAGCACAGCTGATCTCACTTATGATGTCCTCTGTGTTGTATTCATCCTCCAGAGGAAGCATGTGTGTGAACTGGTCCTCTTCCTCTACTAGGTCAAGCCCTTCTGGGATGATGGGGTGGTCCTTAAACCCATCCTTCCTGATGGCAAACATCACCTCAATCATGTACTGTACACGCTTATCTATCTCTGATTCATGCAAGATGTTCCTCAGACGTTCAAAGATAGCTGCAAAAAATGATAGATGATAGATATAGATATAAGATAAAATCATCCATTCAATAACAACAAAATAAAAATAAATAAAATAATTAAATAGTTAGGAATGTACCATTGATGCCTCGGGGTGAGACCTCTGTCAGTTTGAGACCACACTCTTTTAGAAAGCTGATGGCCACTTCCACACTATCATCAGTGGGTCTTTCCAACAGCAGGGTTAACATCTCTAGACACAGGACTTCATGAGCCTAGAGACAAAGAAAATACAATTATGCACTACAAAATAAACTGTGGATTATAGACATATGTGACCCTGGACCACAAAATCATAAGGGTCTTAGGTCATTTTGCATCTCAAGTAAACGTATATCAAGAAACTTTAGATATTTTTACTGAAAAACAAGACAAAACTTTTTGAGGTGAATGTATTGCTTAGTTTACACTTTAGTTTAACACTGGCGATCTATAATGAACCAAAACTATGTTGCAATGGTTATTTGTGACCCTGGAGCACAAAACCAGTCATAAGGGTCAATTTCTCAAAATTGAGATTTATACATCATCTGAAAGCTGAATAAATAAGCTTTCCATTGATGTATGATAGGACAATATTTGGCTGAGATACAACTATTTAAAAATCTGGAATCTGAGGGTGCAAAAAAATCTAAATACTGAGATAATCGCCTTTAAAGGTGACATATCATGAAAATCTGACTTGGATTTAAGTGCTATAATGCTACAAAACATGCTAACTGTTCTGTCTTTGGCTTCACAGACGAGCACAGAACACTATTTACAGTCCCAGCCTCAGAGGAGACAAGCGAGCAGTGGATTTATTGATTTGTGTATATTGCTGTAACATATTGTAAAAAGGGGCATAATATGTCTCCGTTAAAGTTGTCCAAATGAAGTTCTTAGCAATGCATATTGCTAATCAAAAATTAAGTTTTGATATATTTACGGTAGGAAATTTACAAAATATTTTCATGGAACATAATCTTTACTTAATATCCTAATGATTTTTGGCATAAAAGAAAAATCAATAATGCAATGTTTTTTTGGCTATTGCTACAAATATACCCAAGCGATTTAATGAATGAATGAATGAATGATGCATTTATATAGCGCTTTATTGTGTATTGTTGTACACCCGAAGCGCTTTACAATCATGTGGGGGGGTCTCTCCTCAACCACCACTGGTTTTTAAGACTGGTTTTGTGGTCCAGGGTCACATATAGGTTTATAGACTGTTAAAGGAGCAGAAGGACATACCACATTCTGGTTGATGAGATGAGCCACGAATTTGGATGCTGTGAGACATTGTTGCTGAAAAGATAGAAAGAAAAATTAGAACATTATTTAAATTGGTGCTCCATTTAGAAACCAGTACCCAGCTTCCTAAAGGCTTACTTTATCATTCCTCCTGTAACCTTTACGGAAATTGAGGATAAGTCTCTTGAGGATAAGTTCTCCGATCTGAGGAAACTTGGAGTTGATGATGGCCACTACAGAAGAGTACACATGGGTGAAGATGGGAGAGGCAGCCTGGGCCTGAAGTGTAGATCTGGCCAGAAGACCTCTAGAGAGAGACACGTCAGGGCCATTAACAATGTCAATCAGATGAGCTGCCTTGCTGTTTCCCGTCTACACAGGGAGCATCCTAACTGAAATGAAACCTCATAACTGATTGATTTAGATTTAGAGCTACATGGGCATTAACTCATGTGTCATTCAAATATCGCTCCTCACGAGAAGCACACAGGAGACTCAACTTCACAACAGATTTCAATAGAACTTGGTGTATGTTGCTAAGCTAATGCAATACAAACATAAAACTTAATAGCATACACTACAATAAGTTTGGGGTCAGTGCAAAAGTTTTTTATTTTTTGGAAAAGATATTAATACTTTTATTCAGCAAGAATGCATAACATTTATTAAAACTAACAGTAAATATATTTATAATGTTAAAAAAGTTTTCCACTTTAAAAAAAAAAAAAAAAAAAAAAAGCGTTTATTTTTTTACTTTTTATTCATTGAATATTCCTGAAAAAAAATGTACCACGGTTTCCACTAAAACATTTAGCAGCACAACTGTTTTTAACACTGATAGTAAGATAAGAAGTGTTTCTTCAGCATCAAATCAGCATATTAAAAAGATTTCTGAATGATCATGTGACACTGAAGACTGGAATAACGGCTGCTTCAACTTTATTCCAATTAAAATAGAAAAGAGGTATTTTAATTTGTAATATTTTTTCACAGTATCACAGTTTTTACTGTATTTTTGATCAAATAAATGACGTGTTGGTGAGCATAAGAGACTCCCTTAAAAAAAAACTGTAGTGTATTGTGTAAATAATCCATTTTGAGTTGTTTTATCAATATCATTCAATAATGAATGAGTTATACATATAAAAAAGTCAGTAATTGTATTTTTAGTAGTAATAGTAATATAATTTTTATTTGATACATATGTGATCTGTATTTAATAAATTCTACTTATAATAGAGACTTCTCTTGATGCATTCACCATCTTGGATGGATTTTTTTTTTTCACTATGCTTGTTACAATGTTTTATGGGATTGTGCATTTGGCCAAAGGAAGTTATCTGCTTATAGCTGAATTGAACTTGTTTCATAACTGATGAACTTTACAGTTATTCAACTGAACTGTGCGAAGCTGAATAATGAGATTAGTCTTGTTAGAGCTGCTTTACAGCAGAATTCAGATTTGACTCATAATTAAAGTTTGCATCACTGATTCTGTTACTTTCCTGTGTAATACTGTGAGACTGCTATATCTTTATTGTGAAAAGCGCTACAGAAATAAAAGTAAAGAATGACTCGTTAAAATGCAGCAAAAGTAGACAGTACACTAGGAACATAGATCAGTAAAACACAAGAGCTGTGGTCTTTACCTGCCCCTCACAATATTCTCCTGCAGGAGTTCTTGAATAATGTTGCCAATGTTGGAAACGTTCACTTTGTTGATCAGACCATTGATGGACTTCTTCAGGGCTTCCCAGCTCATCCTCTGATACTCCAAACTGTGGAATTAAAAAGAAAAGAATGGATGAAAAACCAACTACACGGATCTCTTAAAGGAGACACGTTCAGCCTGTTAACACAGCAGTGATCTTGAAACACTTGTCTTTTGCGCCCGTTAATAGACCATTTTAAAGGTCATATTTTCGAACAACCGTAATAGCAGGACAAAACCTTCAATGCTGTCTGCTTCTCAGTCTGTACTTCAGCATGAAATAGCCTGGAAAATGCTGATGTTGAGGAGTTTTAGAGTCGTGCTCGGCTCCTTGGAGAACAGCTATTTTTCCCCACCAACTAATTTCCTGCCCTTAGCTGCTCTTGAGACTGATCTCTGATGTATTGTCTCTATCACCTATCTTCCAGTGTCTGGCCTCGAGCACAGGCTAGCGCTCCACTCCTCCTGCTACAGATATCCCACATCCCTAAGGGACACCTCTATATTTCCTAGCTGGCGACCTCCATTCCACTGCATGAGGGAATTTAATCGACCCCTTCATTGAATTAATTCATGTGGATGCGTTTCCCACCATCAATAAATCATCAATAAATAAACCTATTCTTATCACAATGTTTTGGAAATCAATATAGTTCAAAATGGATCAACAAACATAATCCTTCTTACCTAATGATCGCGCCTTATTATACCTGGCCAATAAATCAAAAAATTATATTTCTATATTTTAAAGCCTTTTGACAGTATTCAATAAATATTTTAGTATTTATGTGTTGTATTTGCTCTGAAATGGCTGATCATTAAACAATAGGAATTTGAAGACATGTAGATTAGAAAAAATATAGAAAATTAAAATGTTCTAATAAATATGAAGGTATATTCTTACACTGTTTTTCACAGTAACACCAGGAAATATTATGAATTATTTT